TCTCGTAAGCCCTTCCCTTTATACTAAGAATTCGGCAAATGTACAGAACAAAGAAAACTAATTCACCACATCCTAACGGCAGTTTCTATTAGATAACCCGAGCAACGTAAAACGGTTGCCACCTATTGAATCATAATGTCCAGATTGCTAAGATGGTGCTCCTCTGGCAACGAGCGTGATGCAGTTTGCACTGGTATGACAAATTGCCTGATGCAGTACATACAATAGTTTGTTGAACATTCACAAATACAATAGTCGCATATAGGTATTATCAGAGTGAGACCGAAACGCAGAAAAAGGGTGCTTGATATGGGCCTATCGTAAACCTCCGTCATGCTAGGTTAGCTGTGGCGGCTTAAGTTAAAGGCAGCGTCCAGGCAAAATGACTGCAGGGTTTTGTGGCGATGTTAAAATAGACCCACTACCCAAGCGGTGACTGAAGTTCGGAGCAAAAAAGGAGGTACACCAAGCCTGAAATTTGCCCCGAAAGTGCCCGGATTTTAAGGTAGGTTAGGCGAGTACGAGATGCATACAAGGTAGAGACGCAGAGTCGTTGCGGGACCCTGCGCTCATGACGGTGTGCGCAATGCGTGCTCTAGCCCTTTCAGTTCAAAAGCTGTGCGGGCGGCATTCGAGCCTACCGTAAGATCCGGGCCACTCTTCAAATTTCAGGCTTGGTAGACACCCTTTTTCGCTCTGAACTACAGTTGTCGCTTGGGTGAGGGTCTACTTTAACAACGATACAAAAACCTGATACGCATCTTTTTGCCGGGACGCTGTCTTCAACGTTACGGCGCCTCTTCGGCCCTGCTTGCTTGTCACCTGAACTCATTTCTTCAGACACCATCAGGTAAACACTGCTTAGCAAACAATTGTTTGTGTGGAGCTGAATGGTCTGAGCGGATTTGTTATTCTGCTGCGATTTTGTTTGAAAAATGCGACCCAATAGTTTTGTTCATTTGGTACAGTAAGTTTCGACCCGCTTTAGGCGGAAATTGGATTGGCGGGAGTCCGCCTCGCAACAGCTCGCGCCGTTTCGCAGCCACAGTATATCCTATCGTGCTGAGAACCCATGCCTGCGTCTCTTCAATCTCCTTAGTCTTTGCTTGGCAAAATGCCAGCGCTATGCGCTCGCAAAACCTCCAGCGATGCGCATGCGCTGCTCCACGTAGAATGTCTTGCCTAATCCGGGATGAAACCGACTGTAGGTGCCAGAGTACGCGAATATTTCGTTCAGGTCCGTTCGCTGCAAAAGGCGCACAGTTTTAACTGCAGGTAGTGGTTTGGTGTCACGTCGGGCGGAATGCGGCGTACGCCGCTAGTCATTTTATAATTGTTCTTGCTTCTTCTTCTTGTTCTTGCAGCCGCTAGTCATTTTATCGATGTTCTTGCTTCTTCTCCTTGTTCTTGCGTCCGACGCTATCATTTTATGGATGTTCTTGCAAATCATTCAATGCATTTTTTTCGGTTTTCTATCATACTCATCTTCAAGATTGTAATCACTAACTTCAACGTTGGCGACGTACGGTATATGCCCAACTTCCATCGGCTGCGAGATAACGTGCTACAAACAAACAGAGCCCTAATCTTGTTGAAAGACCTTATTTTCGACGTATTTTCTTCAGAAACACTATCAAGAGTGAAATATCAAATTTTTTCCCGGTGCAGCATCTCTCTTCTGTCTATAAACTTCAAAATTGCTTTTTTTAGTTGACTCTTATATCACTGGGGCTATTTTTTATGCGGAATTAAGGTGAACTAATTGCGAATTCCTTTCTTGCATAGTTACGTAAGGTAGCCACATAGACGTTTCTTTTCATTAATTCCCTCTTTTCTATTACCCTATTTTCAGGTGTATAAGCCGCACTTTTTCGAATTCTCGCCCAAGCTGCTCAGCCGCTTCATTGTGTTTGAAAAAGCGATCCTTATGCCGCACGATTCTTTCGGGCAATACGCAGCACGGTGTAGGGTTTTCTGAATGCGAAATCCATTGATGTGTTCGGGCTGGTCGATGTAAGCTAGGACCACCCCGCGGCTTATACACCTGAAAATAGGGTATCTTTCTCACTCAGATAAAGCATGAGCAAAGCCGAAGTCACGGATTTGCTCAAATAATTTAGCCGGTGTTGATGCGTGTTAATTCTTAATTCCAAAACAAACGGTTTCGTTCACTATTCTTGATTTTTGTCGTTCCCAATATCTTCAGCAGAGGGTGTTTCGCCACCGTTTTTGGTATTTCGAGGAGAAACATTTCTGCCCCAAAGTTGTATTATTTGTTTTGAGAGATGAATTTGATCCAACAGCTGAAGCATGCCTTACAGTTCAGTAAGCATGTGCTTCTTTACCTTTTTGTTCTCCCCAAAGATTTTCTGTGCGGTCCGCAATGTCATTCTTGGAATGATCGAAACATTTTTCGCAGTAGGTTTCCTAAGAACATGATCATACAAGGCATTCATCAAGACGTATCCAAGTAAAACACAAAGTCAACTTCCCTGCTGCACTATTCTGAATCTAGACTGTGCACCTAGCGCAAGTGTGTAGAAATGAGCTAGATACCAAAGTCGATATCATTATAATGATACAACATCGGAATCGCCAGGAAAAATGGCCTTAATCCGTATAACTTTAGCTAAGCGATTTTGAAGTTTTTAGGGAAAAGTAACACTGTAACTAGTAAGAAGTTCTATAGTTTCTTTATGGTAGTGTGTTTGAAGAAAACACCGCTGATAATAAGGTCTTCTAACAAGATTTGGGGCTCTGTTTGTTTGGAGCACGTTATCTCGCAGCCGATGGAAGTTGGGCATATACCGTACGTCAACGTTGGCCAGGTAGCTTAGGACTTATGTGAACTGCATCTTCATTACTACGACTCTTTTTAGATCCGATTCCACAAGTTCTCTATCATACTCATCTTCGAGATTGTGATCACTAACTTGAACGTTGGCCAGGTAGCCGAGGACTTATGTGAACTGTATCTACATTATTACGACTCTTTTCAAATCCGATTGGTGGGCCACGAATTTTCTATCATCACATCTTCGAGATTCTGATCACTAACTTGAACGTTGGCCAGGTAGCCGAGGACTTATGTGAACTGTATCTACATTATTACGACTCTTTTTAGATCCGATTGGTGGGCCACGTATTTTCTATCATACACATCTTCGAGATTCTGATCACTAACTTGAACGTTGGCCAGGTAGCCGAGGACTTATGTGAACTGCATCTACATTATTACGACTCTTTTTAGATCCGATTGGTGGGCCACGTATTTTCTATCATACACATCTTCGAGATTCTGATCACTAACTTGAACGTTGGCCAGGTAGCCGAAGACTTATGTGAACTGCATCTACATTATTACGACTCTTTTTAGATCCGATTGGTGGGCCACGTATTTTCTATCATACACATCTTCGAGATTCTGATCACTAACTTGAACGTTGGCCAGGTAGCCGAAGACTTATGTGAACTGCATCTACATTATTACGACTCTTTTTAGATCCGATTGGTGGGCCACGAAAGTCTGGAGGTAACACGATCTGAAAGGGCCCAGCTTTTTCGAAAAAAAGAAGTAAGTTTTCTTTAAACAAGTGTCTGCTTTGCTTAAACGCATACACCTTGAAGCATGACTGAAAGAGCTGACCCATAAGAGCGTGACTTTGTTTTGCCTTCATTTCCAAACTTTGCTGGATTTTATGACTATTCGAGAGGCGATAAACACCGTGCTGTTTGTGAAACTTCCCTAGATTAAGGCTTTGGCTCATGTAAGCCCAAGTGCATATTTCACAGTTGTGGTACCCTTTGCTTCAACCAGATCGGTGGCTGAAAGGCGGGACTCCGTGACCTAATCTTATATATAAAGCTGAATGTCTGTTTGTATGTCTGTCTTTCTGTCTCTCTGTCTGTCTGTCTGTACGTATGTTCCGAATAGAAAATTCCATTTCTTAACCGATCCGGACCAAACTTAGCACACATACACTTCGGGCCCCGGCGGGTGTCACAGTCCACTTTTCGTTGTCGATCGATGTCGATTTTATCGATTTTTTCATAAATGCAATCGCTCGCAGATTTTCGGAATCTAAAAGTGAACATTTACGAAGCCATTTTGACTCCTTTCTGCCCTCTGGATCTTCGCACGTGATCGCTGTTTGTTTGTCGAAGTGAAAATTCAAAAACGGCCAAAATCTCGTGGTTAATCTTCCAAGACTCTGCGAGCGGAGTGCAAAAATTCAGTCGTCTAAATTTCTGGTCAGCGCCTACCCTTGGCGATTGTGTGAGTTGCAAGCTAAATCAGTTTTGCTCCAACCAGCCAATTCTGGTCGGGCCAGCCATACGTCCACCGTTGTCCGAGTTCCGACAGAAATCTCCTGTCAAACCGCCCTGCAGCTGTATGCGATTTTATACCTGGGATGGGTGTTATGAAAATGTTTTGCGCAGTTTAGGTCCCAAAACTAACCGGATATGTGAAAAAAGGGAGTGCGGGCAGGAGGCTGTTGCATGCAGTCGGAGCCCGATTTAACTGGAAATTCATGTCGAAAAAGCGCATGTACATGTGGACAACTATGGACGCGACCCCTGAAGGCAGCGTCCAGGCGTTTGTCCCCAGTACCGTACTCAGAGGACAGCATGCAGGCTTGCAGATTGCGCTGACATGTCACAAGGGTGGCGGGCTTCCACGCGATAGTATGCAACCCCTTCTGCAAGTCGTCCACCAAATACGGTAGCGGGGACTGGTTTGGGGACAATACTCGGTCGTGAGGGCACCATCTGCGCTTGCTTGGGCAGTGTTCTATTTAACCTAGAGACGGGTTCTACGTGCGAAGCGTATGTGTCCAGATTTGCCTGGATGCTGCCTTTAACGTAGCTCAAATGTCTCTTGCTTCTATGTGTTTTTTTTTTCAGCTGAAGACCTTAAAAAAATGTGGCGGTCGATTGTTTCAAAATACAGGCGCTTCAAACAAAGTCGGAGCGGGTCGGAAGCAGTACACAATCCGTTAATGGATAAACTTACTTTTCTTGAGTCGACTCTTATCCCTCAGGAAAGGTGGGGTTCAAAATTGATATGAAAAATATTATGCATTCCCTTTTTTAGCACAAGATATTCAAACTTCGATAGTCTCTGTGACCGGAATTTGGATTCAACAATAACAGAAGCTGCGAGTGAGAATTTATTTTTTAACGCTTGCAACTGGCAGAAAGGCTACCTTTTTAGGTTCACAGGAATCAAGCATCCCCGTATTAGGCGATCGCACTAATAGCGTTAGCAGTAGTCTGAGCTTGAGGAGGAAAAGGAGATTAGATGGGGAGGGTAGGTCACTAAAAATTAATATTGTCCTTTACAATTTACTCTTCTATTTTGACTTTCCAGAGTCCAGTGCAGTGGCAGCAGCGGAGGCCGTCAGAATCGTCTGGACAGAATGCGTAGAGAAGACCGCTATACGTGGATAGGTTAGTTTTGCTTTCAGTGGATCAGCCACGCTAACAGAAGCTATTCTTAGGTTATTTCGTCGTCGACACACTACGTCGTCTAACGGATGCCGAAGCAGACCGCTTGATATACGGGATAATGGGTCTTTGCCTTCGCATGGGGCCCAACTACGACGCTGAAAACAATTATGAGCGAAATTTGCAGAACTCTGGGCTTGGATAATCTTCATTTCAGGTCGCCCCGCCCTGCCTCGTTTTTCATTATTCATTCTGTTCGGGTTTTGATCATGCCGGTGGAACATCTTATTTGTCATCAAGCTTTTTTTGCGAATCTTCGAAGCTTCTTACTGGTGTCATTCGTACCTCTTTCTTTCAGAAGTACATGTTTGCATGTTGTTTACAGTGTTTACACGTTTACATAACTACTATTGACTGAAATTTTGTGGATGTAGCATATAGTCGGTTTCTTCAAAGCGATAAAAGAATATACAGGCGATAGCAATGGTCGAATCCGACACTAGATGTGAACAACAAACACAAAAAATGTAAACAACAGTTTTATTTGCAAACTGATTTCTTCTAGGAAAAACTAAGGCACAAGGATAATAAGATAAGATGATCGGAAAATGAAAGCAAGAGCAAATGACCGCGCTTGGTCAATGCAAATATCACACTACCCAGCTTATGGCAGCCATAGCGTAGCGCAACTGTATGAGGTCAACCCCGCCCCCTCTCACTGTCTCATCCTTACTCTCTCACAGCGTGTATCCTAGGGGCACGCCAGGGTGCCTTAGCCAGACTAGCTGCTTGTCGACTCGATAAACAGCCAAACAAAGAAACTTGTGAACTATATGATATATCAAACATACAAAAACGAACTAGTACTACACTCAATATGGACTGAAGTGAATTTTGTGGATGTTGCATGTCACTCTACTGCGGGCCCATCTCTAAGTGTGTAATAGAGAGTGATTCTCTCTCTAACACACACTTAGAATTATTACAGAGAATAGAGAGTGATTCTCTCTCTCTCTTCATTCTCTTTTGCTGCACTTGCCCCGGTTTCGGCGATCGTCCGCTCAACCGAGTGAAGGGCTTCTTCGCTTGAGCCTTGCTGGCCTCCATGCGCATCTTGCCTTCTTGGCAAGAGATTGTGCAGAATCTGTAAGTACCGTGAGTAGATGCAGGGATTGTGGGGAGCTTCACAACTAACCAGGAATGCCTTAACTATACGAGCCGCCCTTGCAGGGTTAACTTGCATTGGCTGCATGAGAATCTGAAATCTGCGCGCCAAGATTCCGAACGTTGACTCCATTATGCGCCGAGCTCTGGATGTTTTCAATGAGGAGTGGGTTAGAAATAGATTTGCACTACCTGCTGTGCCTGCTATTAAATCTCCTTTTTTCGGGCGTATCCGCTTCTGCATCTCAATATGGTCTCACAAAACGCAAGTCCTGCCCGAATCCCCCGTCTACCAAGATATGGTATTGTACGGGCCCAACACGGTCGAGATCTTCGGCGGGGGGGGGGGGGGGGGGAAGAGGTGGTCGTTAGCATCGAGAAACTCCTGATACATTTTGATCAAGTAGTGGTGTCAGATTTTATCATACTTCTAACCTTTATGGCCGAACTGCGATATACTCCGGCATCACCTGCTCGGTCAGCTGCTCCAACGTCGTAGAGGAGAATCCGGTAATCGCAGTCGCAGATTGCCAACAGAATTATTGAGCAATAATTCTTATAATTCCAGTAACTGCTCCCCGAATGAGTGGGCTTCTTGAAACCATAGTTTATTGTTACTTGCAGTAATCTCGTTCGCTATTTAGTGACCTCAATTCGGACATGCTTGCCGTCCATGAAACCGACCTAGGGTAATCGTAGCGATCGTGCGTGGCGTTAGCTATTGCTTGCAATCGCTCTCGCGTCAAGGGGGGGGGGAAGGCGATTTCGTGTAGCTCTACAAATTAAGAAATTGCAATACAAAAGAGTTGCCCAATATCGTGAGAATGGAAGAAGTTCAGTTTCTGGCTATGCTATCTATTGAACTCTAACATTCTGCCTTACCATCGATAATCACGTCAGTGACCTCCGCTACTATAGCAGAAACCGTTTCCCTGCCACAGTCAGCAGCTAGCGCGAATGAGACGAAGGTTCCCCCAAATGCCACAAATCTGCAAGAAGCGAGCACTGTTATTGCTGATTCATGCTCTTCCTTCCGTACCTGAGGTAGATCATCAGCCTCTGACGGCCATTGATAGGGCCTGCGTGCGTGGAAGGGTGTTGGAGCCTTCCTCCTATGATTTCATACAAGTCCTCAAACTCATTTGGAAGCAGTCTGACGAACTGCATGAATTGCTGAGGCCTTCCAGTCGCCAAGTACTCGTCGTAGAGGCGAAAGCGTGTGTCGAGAAACGGAAAGTGCTCTCGACGCACGTACTCGCGAGTACACGAGCTTTCCTCCTCTGCCTCCGCAACGGCATCTTGGAGCTCGACGAGCGATTCGAGAAGGTCACGCCATTCTTGTTCGCTCATTGCTGCAAAATGCAACATTAACAGGTCATCATTATCCATAAGATAATAACAGGACGAGACGAGCACCATGTTATGCGCATTGCAAGGGCACTTACCCTGTCAGTGAAAGAATGAAAAACTAGTCGCTGCGGCGGAAGAAGAAGTTAAATGCTCAGAATAACATGCCGTTTCGCGTTGTAATCTCAGAATAACATACCATTGCGCGTTGTAATAAGAGCGCTGGAACGCATTTTTGTGCCGGGACTTGGCAATGTGTTGCGCTATGAGCGTCTGGCGCTTTGTGATTGGTGATACTGTTCTCTCTCTTTGCTAATACGACTTGCGGTGCATATGATTTAGTTTTCTCACATTTTTCTTTCAATGAGCAGCTTGGAATAACGAGTAATGAAGTAAATTAAGTGTAGTTGTCCAGAAGAAGACTTTGCCTAGGAATGTGTTAGAATATTCTTTCTTGTACTTTGGTAACTCTAAGTTCTAAGTATTGTCTTGAACAACTAAGAAGTTTTTTGGATGCTTGCAAGTTTCAAGCTAAATGTACTGTAGAGTAGGGTTATGAGTTTCTTGCACTTAGGGAAAATACGCAATATATCACGTATGATAGTACTTGTCATGCATCCCCCAGAATTATTCCCATATGCGCTATTAACGTGGCTGCCGTTCGATCGTTGCAACAAGTTATCCTAAATCTAAAGCGCTTTTTCGAAATTGACATGTTAAAATGATCGAAAAGCATCCATATTGATGGTTTGTTTGAGAACAATTCCGGGCACCATACGAACCTGCTAGTAGCCCTGCAAAGAGAGGAGAGTTGCTTTGCGGAGCATTTGAAATGGGATGGTGATATGTAAAACAGTGTGGCTCTTCTATTCAGACTCATATAGAGAAGAATGTGTTCTTTTTATTATGAGCATCATTTCAAAATTCGCATTTCAACCTAACAATTAACGCTTTAACAGATATGAAATACTACACCTCTAGTGAAATAAGAAGAAGTTCAAGCATAGTCTGAGCAGCTGACCAAATACAGTTCTTGTGAACTCTAACTGAATAAGAACTGTGTCATACATGTATGCCTAGAACGAATGGTATCCAAATATGCTGTTGAACTATGTGCTTTTACTAGTGGTGGCAACGATAAAGGTGACGGACAATAAGATAAACACCAGACAAAGTAGTTTGCATTGTGATTGCAAGAATCCAGTGGTTGACTACAGACTGGAACGGCAAAACATCCGCGATTCCTTTTAGAGGACGCCGCTTTCCGCCCGACGTGACGCCAAATCGCCCTATCAAATCGTGTTACTTCCAGACTTTCGTGGCACACCAATCGGATCTAAAAAGAGTCGTAATAATGTAGATGCAGTTCACATAAGTCCTCGGCTACCTGGCCAACGTTCAAGTTAGTGATCAGAATCTCGAAGATGTGTATGATAGAAAATACGTGGCCCACCAATCGGATCTAAAAAGAGTCGTAATAATGTAGATACAGTTCACATAAGTCCTCGGCTACCTGGCCAACGTTCAAGTCAAAAAACACGAAGTCTCGGAGATGAGTATGATGGAAACTGAAAAAGTCATAAAACAAGCAAAGTTTGGAAATGAAAAGTCACGCTCTTGATCTCTGTCAAGCATTCTTTTCAAAGGTGCTATGCGTTTAAGCGAAACAGTCACTTGTTAAAAGAAAACTTACTTCTTTTTTTCGAAAAAGCTGGTCCCTTGTGTTACTTCCTGACTTTCGTGGCCCAACCAATCGGATCCAAAAAGAGTCGTAATAATGTAGATACAGTTCACATAAGTCCTGGCCTACCTGGCCAACATTCAAGTCAGTGATCAAATCTCGAAAATGAGTATGATGAAATCTGAACAAAAGGAAATGAATGGTTTGCAAGAACATCGATAAAATGACTAGCGGCTGCAAGAACAAGAAGAAGAAGCAAGAACAATCATAAAAAGACTAGCGGCGTACGCCGCTTTCCGCCCGACGTGAGGCCAAACCACTACCTGCTGCTAAAACTGTGCGCCTTTTGCAGCAAACGAACCTGAACGAAATATTCGCGTACTCTGGCACCTACCTTTTGTATAGGCAATGCTTTACAGAAAAAAGTCCGCGTCTCTTCCGCGAGCGTGCTCTCTGGTCATTCTCTAGCCTTGAGTAGGCCTCGAAACCCCGCTTTCCAGCCGCCATTCCCGTTGAAATCAAAGGGCAGCTATGTGTCACAGGATAGCTTTTCGCTCTGAACCAAACTTTTTCATCAACACCCCTCCAGAAGGTAATTTGCTAAACATTTGTGCGCAAGTGTTCGCATTCAAAAAGTGATTCTGATCACAAGCAGGTGCAGTCTTCCGGAGAGCATGCACATCTGTTGCAGACATCATCACTTCCCTGTCGGTGGATCGCGGAGATGGACAAAGAGGGGAAGGACTGAGTGATTTACTGTGTGAGCTCTATTGGAGTAGTTCACATGTTTTTTCTAAAGTTTAGCCAACAATTACTGTGAGAAAAACAGTCAATATTTTAGATGTTGACATCGTACTGTCCACTACTCAATTTTTCGTTACTTTGCTACTGTGGTTCAAATTTATCACGCACTCGCTGGGATAGTGTATGGAATAAAATTGCAAGGTACAGTCGAGTAGATTTTCTGCTTAATATAGTGTGCTTGCACAGAAGGTGAAATGCGGTAAAATTTGCTCGTGAGGAAATAGCTCCGACTGTGACGCCGGCCAATTGCGCGCGCAAAATGCCGGCAGTGATATCGCAGCTAATTGTTCACGCGCAAATTTTACCGCATTTCATAAACTGTGCAAGCACACTATATTAAGCAAAAAATCTACTCTGCTGTAGTATTACCTAACTGTACGCAAACGTGATGCAAATTCGACAGCGCTGGCTGAAATTCCCATATATTTGTCCGCTTAAACAGATGAATTCCCCAGAGGATAATGATATTATATTACTTTGTCTTTATTATATTGCGAAATTTCAAAACACAAGTTTTTTTCGTTCTTACAAGGGAAGGACACCAACTCAAGTCAACGATCAAAGACGAGTTGTGTATCTTTAAATGTGCCTTCAAACGCTGCTTTCAAATCTGCTTTCCTTTCCTGCATAACAACTCTCCGAAAGAAGTTATGAGCGTTTGAATATTGAATTTGTTCAGCTTCAAGTAGCATAAAACTAGCGGAAACTCTACAAAATCTATGCAAAATTTCAATGGCTGCGTTTCTTTATCGTATTGAATATACTTGCTACAAAATCAATTACCCAGTTTCAAGCGTTTCTTTAGAGATTTCCGTTAATTGTCACTTAGAGTTAGACAAAATTGAACATTGAAACCTTATAACTTCGTAGCATGCCCATATCTCGCATCGGTGTGGGAGAAATCTGAATCTAAGGGTATCATTTGATTCCGTTCGAAAAGTTACATCTTCTAATACATAGAGGCACCTGTTAAAATATGGTGCACGGCAGGTATCCAGATTCCATAGCACACTGATATCGTGCAAAAATGTGCAAGGATTTGCGATCTATCAGGCAACTGTGCCTACCGTGATCAAACAGGCGACTTATATGGCAGAAGTTGGCCGTGCCAAGCTGATTTAAAAGGTGTACCTATTCAAATGTCGCCTATTTTGAAGCGAACCACAATATAGTGATGTCACTTGAATCAGGTAAACATCACATTTTTTTTATAGAAATTATGAGTGGTGTCGTATCTTTCGCGGCTGATTTTATTCGAAAACTTACATCAAACATGCTTGTCAAAATGAACTGCACACACGCAATATAGAGGGCTGAGGGCTTAGGGCTTCACCGCGTTTCAACTTTCTAGTCTAACACAAACCAATTCTCTGAAAGAATAACATATGCGGTATAGAACTGGCAGAGTCAATAGGTTATTTCTTGGCTTGTTTAGTGATATTATCGTATTTCTACATCTGAAGATGCGTTACTGTCATTGTTCAGCTTGTTTGGCAAATATCGTAAACGTAGCACATTGTTTGAAATAAACATCGTATACAATCTCAAGGATGTCTATAATGCAATTTCAAAACAAGATGACTCAAAGGCACACTTCTTCATGAACTTATTTGCCCAAGTATGCATAAAAGGATACAAAAAATACCTTTGATCTAATTTTAATTAGTGCTGAAATCTCACATTTCCGCATCGAAATGCCACAAGATCGACCCATTCTCCGGCGGGCTCCCCCCCCCCCTCCGGAGAATGGGCCGCGAGATTTTCAAAGTTACTTATATGGGTTATAAAAATGTGCAAGTGACTTGTTTACACTTGTAAATAATCAAAATAATTTTTGAAAATTTTTAAAAATTCGAATTAGCCTGGCTGAGGCCACGCCCCTTTCCAGATTTTAGGGATTGGAGACCCACGAAAATTTTGAGAAGCAATCCTAAATTTTTTTCGGAGTGCGTGGCTAATGCCACGCACCTTCATTCGAAATAAATTTTTGTCGCCCCCTCCCTCCCGAGCGGATATCCTGGGTACGCCACTGATTGGCATATACCTCCATTTGAATTCAAATTTTTTGAACACAAACAGAATCAAAACCAATTTTTATTCTAGCCTTCGAAACATTGAAGCACACCCTGCGAAAAAAGAAGAAAAACTTGCTATTCTTTTCTTCATGGTTTCACTTGTTCATCTATCTTCTCTATTCGAAAGCTCTCAAGTTTGTGTGGTTTCGCGCACTGTTGTCCGTATGTTATGTCACACCAGTGCATCACTTCTGCTTCGCGGAGGCTCGCACTGGTTCTGTTATCTGTGTGCCTTATTCATTCCTCACAATAATGGCTTTGAAACTCACCGCGCAGTGCTGACTATCACGGATAAACCGTGAACAACTACTCAGTCCGAATGCTTTTTCATGTAGGCGCTATAGGCCCCGGGCAGACTTCACGCGATTTGATCGTCGCGACTGAATCGCGACGAGACAACTGTTACAACATCATTCCATGTCGATCAACTTGCATTCGGTTGTGATACTTTTCCAGCCCGAAATTTTTGAATGTGAAATGAAAATGAATGGAAATCTTGGCGATTTGGTCGCGACGATTAAGTCGCGTGAAGTCTGACCGGGGCCATAGGCAGGCGCTATACTCCTCGAGGAGTATAGCATGGCGACGGGCGATCGCCAATATCGTTGACAAAAATCGCTGATTTTACACGTATTTAATGCATATCGATCGTCGCCATGCTATACTCCTCGAGGAGTATAGCACCTGCCTAAGATCGGTAAACTCGCGTGGATGAAACTCATGGAAAAGAGCAAATGCAAATTCAAATTAGTTTTTGGATATATTATAGCATGATAGTTGCCATAATAACGACAAACACAATGAACTACATTTCTAAACAAAAATCTTAGCAAATGCTCAGCTAGCACCTTGGCAGATTGATCATTTATCAATCAAATCTTTTGGCACCGATTTCGTATTGTAATATACCTTTAATCACTTTTTTGGGCTGAAGTCCATGGCTTGCGTATCCACTTGTCGAACATATCCATAGCTTTGTAAAAAGTGACACTATGGACCCAGTTTTGCTGACCAGAAGCTGAGTGGATCCGTTTGTCTTACAGTTTGAGAGGACCACTCAACGGATCCTCTCGTACTTTTGCATGGTGACTTTCATGCAGGTAGAGGACTATATGTCGCCGAAAAAGGGCGGTTCCCGCGGTCATTTGCGACAAATACGCACCCTTGTACATGCGCGGACATGCGTTCCTGCAGGAAATCCGCCCGGGACTCTTCCACATTCGGCGACATATAGTCCTCCACCCCTTTCATGCTGGTAGCATGCGCTGTGCAAAATTTGGGCATAGGATGTTCGCTCAAATACGCTCTACGCTCTCATAACAGACAGACACACAAAAACACGTAAACAACCTTAGCCCGTTATTACAAGGTCTTGATTTCCTACTCACGAGCAATTTGTAAGATTTTCCCGGAATTTTGTTGTTTGCATACTAATTCCGTAAAATAATCTTAAGACTGATGCTGCCCTTAGGAAAGTCATTTGAGATCACCGCGGTATCTGCCCGAACGCTGATGCCCACCTGTCAGGTCAGTTGCATTCTTATAGCATGAAGGAATGGTTGTTCGTAAGTTTAATTCGCAAACCCCCACTGAGGCGCTCATTCAAATCATCTAATGTGAAGGGGCTGGTCAAAGACGCACTTTATATTGAAACAGGCACTTCTGCATATATACAAGGCAGTAATTGAATAAATTCTTTTTTTCCGTTTTGTGTGTTTCTGCTTCAGGAAAGTAAGCTCTGTCCCTAATCGTAATGCACATCAGATGCATTAATGCATATATGACCCTCCCTATTGATCGAGCTGCAGAAGTCAATGTGCCTTACAGAATGAGCCGCAAATGATTGAATAAACATTATTTCTAGCAACTACTTTATTAAGTCTAAGAAAGCATTTCTAAAGTATCGAGTCGCTTCATAAGCTGTAGAGTTTTCATTCTTGTTTTCACTGAGAGACGGTCGATTTGCGACAAGATGCTATATCAATGCTGAATCAGGCGTTTTTGCTAAAATGATAAGAGCTGAGCTTGCACTTCAAAATAAACCTATTGAATTCGATGAAAAGCTGATCCTGGTTTCTCAGCTGGAAAAGATGTAAACTTGAAGGTAAAAGGGAGCTCTGCCATTTATGGTCTATGAAAATTCGAGGGTGTCAATATGAGACATAGAAGGAGGTTATCTTAAAGGTTAACGGTTTAAGAAGGGTCCGGTTCGCTTCAATTCAATACGATCTCGGAAGTTGGTTAGACAACAGTTTTTGGACCAGAACCGTATCTAAAAATTTGGCTGAAAATATGACGGCAAGGTGGCAAAGGGTTGCTCGCAATAATCTGTATTTTGACAAAACTCTGTTATTTGATTTGCTTACGGAAAACTCTAAGAACTTATGAAACGAGTCCACACAAAATTTTTGAGTCACATCACGTGCAATTTGAAAGATAAAACATACACATCCTCGAGTCATTCGTAATTTATTGTGAAAGCTTGAAGACGGTGTACGGAACTTCAGGGCTTCCCCCTTCTCTGTTAGTGCAAACGTTTGATGCAAAAAACCGATAAGAGGTGTTCAATATGTTTGTGTAAACCTACTCATGCACAAACCTCAAAAAGAGTCGGAAGCAGCAGAATATGACTTACAGGGAATATAAGACTTGTTGTTGCGCAGTCTGCGGTACACACACGGAGTTACGAATGACTCGACGACAGTTTCAGTCTACGAGCTTAATTCCTAACACAAGCGTTTATCTCTACTCTTTCTATTTTACAAAGCCATCGTACGTTCCATGTAATCGCGGTTTTGCTTTGCCATCTGCCATACTACATCGCTTTGATTCTGGAACAATTTTTCGGTATTAAATAGTCACGCTGTTAAAATTCCATACCTTAACCTGTAACAGTGTTCTTTCCTCTTTCCTAAGCATCCAATAGCGACTTGCTTCATTTCTGAAAAGGAGACGATAGAATAAGTGCATGTACACTCGATAATGACATAATGTATACTAATTTCAAAAGTATGTGCACACTGTATGACATTAACTCACATGAGTTTTGCGTAGTTCAATTGAAACAACTTTTCCGATCGTAAACCCAACCTTATAGCTTTAAATTCTGAAAATAAGGAAATTCTTCCATTCTACGAAGGTCAAAGCAAGGCTTCGTTGGCTAGTATTGTAAAACACGCTCTGGCACATCAATTCCCGTGATTTTGAGTCCGGTCTCACGAACTTTAAATAGTAGCTCGTACACAATGTTTCAGTCTTGCATGAAAATGGTAAAGAGTTTTTCATGAAAAGGTCATTTCATAGGAAAAAACCACTCATTAAAATGATGCTCCTGCAAGAACATAGCTTAACACCAATAAAAAAAAACCATTGAAGGAAAACACAAGGAAAAATAAAACACAACCCTGCTGGCAAAACGTTCCATGCAATTTTTTTCAGAATCTTTGCATAAATTGCCCTGAGCTAGATACTATACAATAAGCAGTCAACTTCCAGGGCCCGGCACGAGGTCGGCAAATGACAAGCTGGAAATCGTTTTGGGGCCAAAAAGCAAAGGGGAAATCGTTTTTGCGGGGTCCGGGGCCGAGCACCGGAAAAAAATAGGTAGTTCATGCTCGCTACTTATCTTGACATGTTATGTGCCTCAACAGGCGAACACTGGAGTTCGCGCGCGTCAAACCGCGCCGTCGCTAATTGCCGCACCCGCGACGTCGCCCAAGCGATGCTATTTGTAACTGCATACATGACTAGTTCTCAATGTATGTGTAACGATATGGCACCAAATTTTGTATGCGAACGGAGAGAGGCTAGTGGAAACATAGTATGAAAAATTATGAAAAACTTATGTGAACGGAACGAGTAATTAGCATTTTTTTTTGAGAATTTCGCAAATTGGTAAATGAAGATGTGAATTCAACGGCTCGTTTGGAACGCGCAGATGAACGATATGATATGAAACTTGGTGAGTACATGCACACGGGCTTGCAGGGCTTAACTGAGGAGTTTCATCGAAAAATTATGTGACTGAAGGTTGTGGCAAACTTTTTTCTGAAGATTTTGCGCTACCAAAGAAGTGGAAAAATGGCTCGTTTGCAACGCAGAGGTAACGAAATCGCGCGGGTTTCGGTGTGCATATGCGCAATAGGACTAAGTAATAAAGTATGAAATATTATGAAAAACTTATGTGAATGAAGAGCGTGCTTAACTAATTTCCAAATTAGGTCGGCATTTGCCGACCTAACTCCCACCTGAGGTCGGCAAAACTCTCAAGCCACATAATTTTTTCAAAACTTTTACATAAATCTGTTGTACACCTAAAGTTTACTACATGGTGAAATTTTGGTTCCGAAACTCCTCGTCTTGTCCTTGTTAGAGCCCAAAATCGCATCAGCAGCCTAGCTTTCTAAGATAGAAAGCGCGCCCCAGTCAATCGATACGCGCGGGAACGGCGTCTCTCATTCCTATGACTGCGTTTCTTTGATATTTTCTCATTCCTTAATCATTTTTCTTGCTTATTTTTCTTCCTGTTTTCTATCTTGATCAAGCTGAGGAGTAATTTGAGGAATTGGAGCAATTTGGGCGCTTTTGAGCGCTTTTAGGCGAAGTGTGGCCGGTAATCTCGTCGCACAAGGATAAAACGTCATTTTTGGGCTCAAGGGGGTATTCGTAAAATTTATTGGGATCAAAGGGGAATTCGTTTTGGAAAACCTCGTTTGCCCACCTTGTGCCGGGCCCTGTCAACTTCGAAGCTTTTGCTTTTCTTTACGCCAAAACTCAAAGAGCAAAGGACGTCAAATGCCGCCCCTTGAGGAGGGTTCTTTTTCAAGCTGAACTCCATTCTCCGGCGAGAGTGTTCATGCAAGCAGTCCTAACTATAAGATTTACATGTTCATAATGCTTCCTACAGCAGATTTGTCGTAACAACCGTTCTTTCAATAATCAAATATGGAGGCACCATTCAAAAAGCTCCAAACGCCGTAAACTTGATTGAAATTAGCCTATAACCTGACGCACCATTTTTCAGAGTTGTTTGAATTTTTTTTGAGCAGCTACATTCACGATGCTCAAGTACTCTGGAGGGTCCTATTGTAGGTAACGAAAAGTACTGAAATGCTATCATTGGTTTGTTTCGTAGTACGAACCTAAATTGAGAAGGACATTGCAGAATGTGGATATTAGTGAGTGCACATATTTGGGAATTCCTGTGTATTTATGCTACAGATAACGCTTATAACGGTGACACTTTGAGATATGTAATTTTTAGAGCCAGGTGAGAGTTATGCATTCACTATTTTTTTGGTGATGCAGGAACTTCCACTATGTGAACTTCGATATGTTTTTTTCATAAAAGGCCGCCAAATGAGCAAGAACAATTTACCTTAGCATTGGTTTTGACTTGGGTAAGTCAGCCTGTTCATGCTCATTGTTCGCAGTTGACTCCTTGGATAACTGAAGATTGCTTCTGACGATGAATCATCAAATCATGCATAGATGCAATACCGTGCTTTGCAGCAAATTTATGGGAGTTCTCAAAGACTTCATAGATCTAGTACATCCATTAACTCCCACTACCGAGACCCAACAAGCTTGAAAGGGATCGTACGTGAAAAGGGCGTTGTAGTCTTCCAGTACTTTCTGCAAAAGAAATCCAAGCAATATTCAGTTCGAATCCTCTATATTTAACACATTGACGACCTTGTGCATACGCACGTATGCACGCCCTACTCCCGTTTAGCATTTTCGTGCATCCGCGCATATGCACGCTAGTTTTTTGGGTGTAAACGAAAAGTTTCAAGGTAACTTTTATGCAGGGATACTATTGGTGCCCTGATTGTCTTTCAGATCACAGGGCATTACGGCAGCTGTTCAGAAGTTTTGGCCGCAAAATTGGGTCCGTTTTTGATGTGGTAAATACATGTTAATTACATTTTTCCGAGAAGGTGGAAACTCTGTGTAGCTGTTTTGAAAGCAAACAAGGATGAATCAGGCGAAAAAACCTGTTATCACAACGCTTTTCTCGAAAAAGGATTGCTCAGATATAGCCATTGCATGGTTTATTGGAGGGAAAATCGAGGCAAAACCTTGATTTGTGTAAGTCCTATTGAGACTCTGTGATACACATGTTTCTCTGGACATAGTTTGCATGTTTTATGAATAAGCGTCAAAAAGACTCCCACATAATGTTTTCGTGCATACGCGCGTATGCACGGGCCAAATGCGTAAAGGACACTAGTGTGAGTTTCGTCCAAAATGGCGCGGTCGTCAACGTGTTGATGACGCATTATCCATTCGAGCTCACAACGTCGTCGTCTTGAAAACCCATTTTTCTTGGTCGCAGGATTCTCAAGCTACCAATCACGTTGAATAGATTGTCGAGTAAGCTCCTCAGCTGAAGGGTTCAGCATCAAAAAGTTCACCTTTTGATGGCTTATACCTCAGTATCATATGGTGTAGCTTTGGCTGGGTCTCGTTGAGGATCTTTCGTTCTTGTTCGTACCATCCATTTCAAAACCAAAAATCTGCAAACCATCGAGTAATGGGCTACAAACATTTCAAGACAGTTAAAATTATCGTAGTAATTTGATATAAGGATGGTGTGTTGGTACTGGTTTTCTGTTAGGATTGGCCATAAAGAATACCATGAAAGTCGATAACTATTAGGTTGTTACATAAATCGCGAGACTCTCTAGATTCTTACGGCGATAATTCATACATTTCACATTTTTAGGGACCCAGGGCACTATTTGATAGAGCAAAGCAAGTTCTATAAGATGCTGTGCAAAAGTTCGCACCGGCTTCGATCCCCCGTAAGTTTGAATCCAAAAACTGCGAAAAATTCATACCTTCGTCTAAAAAATTCCTACGTATCTCCAACTTGGTCACAAAAATTTCATACTACATCAGACACTCATATTTATCGTTCCGTAATTTTTCTCCGTTTGGAAATTAAGAGAACGAAAACCTTCATGTTTATTTGGAAACGGGTACAGTGTTTTCACTCATGTAATTGCTACAAGCCCTTAGGAGTATAACTGCAAATTTACAGCTTTACACAAGCCTTAGTTTTTGAGAAATATTGATTTTAGCATGAAAACCCGAGTGCGGAGGGCTAAATTCAGTAATTTTCAAAAACTAGGGCCTGTGGAAAGCTGAAAATCTACGATTATGCTCCTAAGGGATTGTAGTATACAATTACATGAGTAAAACCAGCATAGCTTCGCTTTTGTATGAACACGAAAATTTTCGTTTTCTCAACTTCTAAATGAGAAAAAAATTCAGAGCCTTACATATGCGTGTTCGATGTAGTGTCCAATTTTTGTGAACAAGTTGGAGAATCGTAGGATTTTTTTTGAATAAAGATATGAATTTTCCGCGATTTGAGCCTTCAGTACGACTCATTTTGGATGCTTGCTTACAGTGGGTCCAAGTTGGTGCAAACTTTTGCATACCATCTTTTAGAGCTTGCTTTGCTCTATCGAACGGTATCCTGTGGCCACGAACCCTAAGGGTTTCCACTTACCCCTGGAGGGTAAGTTTAACCCTCAGGGTTCATTGGCCGTATTCATCAACATAGAGTAGGGTTTACCACGGAACGCGATCCACCCGTATCGATCAGCGAATCTATGGCCGTACTCATCAACAAATCCTGAGGGTTAAACTAACCCTGGAGGGTTAAGGCGTCAGTTACGCGTGCGCTGTACTCACACCACAGAATGCCTAAGTACGTGCTAAATTCACTCTACACTTCTATTCTTTCACTGCTATAGTATTATAATTAACGAATAAACTTCTAACACTAGTTTTTATAAAACATCCCCAGCATATTTGCGCAGCATCCAATCTTACAGCGTGAGTATATTTTCATGTGTGCACTTGTGCCATGCAAGTTCTACTTTTGGGCAGTTCGTTTTATACCCAGCTTGTGCTACTGTTTTTTAGGTCAGTGGGTGTTATCATAGATGGGTTTTTTGTTTTGGCACTTGTCAAGTGGAATGCGCTATCATTTTTCCTCGTCGCATTCATTTGTCACCATAGCTAGAATTCTTTTTCTCGCGAAGTCAGTGTTTCCTGTACTTCGAATTTGAACATAAAACGAAGTCGAAACTAAATACTACAACAACAACTAATACTAAATACTACAATACTCGTTCGTTTTCCATAGAACTATTACATGCGAGTAAATGTTTGTATGAAGTGTTAGGATAGATTAACCTTGCTCTAAGCTAGGGTTGAATTTACCCTGATGAATCACGTAAGTTTTACCTCCAGGGTTAGTTTAACCCTCAAGATTCGTTGATGAATACGGGTTAATCGCTTTCGGGGTAAGGTTTGTTCTCAAGGGTAGATTTAACCCTCAGGGTTAAGCCTACCATGTGTTTCATGAATAGGGGTTAACCGCTTTCCAGGGTTTCCCGGGTAACCGCTTTCCCTGAGGCTTAAACTAACCCTCCAGGGTTAGTTTAAGCCTCAGGGTTCGTTGATGAATACGGCCACTAAACTCCTACTAAAAATGAGAACCATGACTTATACTATGGCCCTTATAGACATACCAAAGAATGTTACTTGCTACTGGCAAGAAATCTTAGTTGTTCAAAAACTTCATATGGAAAATAATAACAATGAATAATAAAAAATTTTAGAGATATAGAAAATAAGCATAAATGTCGTATATAACTAATAGGAGAGCTACCTGATCTGATCGCTAACAGCTGCGGAACGTAATTTGTTTTGGCCATTTTCTGACTCATTTATGTAGACTGCCTGTTAAAAAGAGATATAAGCGATGAATGTGATGAAGCAGTTATGACAAGAATTATATTACGCATATGATCAATTAGACGTTCCCTTTTGAACCTACATAGAGAGCTTCCATTTTTCTGCAGCTCCTTTTCGCCTTGACCTCCAAGTACTTTTGCGTCCATAATGTGTTCAAGAGGTCTCTTACAAGCACTGGGAGGTAACCCTAAAAATCTTTTCTGTTCTCAATTCGATAGAAGATATTGTCAGGTTTTTTTTGAACTAACAAGGGAAGGATACTAACTTAAATTTGCCTTTTGAGATGGGAGCATATGTTTGGAATCAGCTTTGAGCGCTGATTCCAAATATGCTGTTCCTAGCTGGTTAGCTGCTGTTGTAAGTAGCTAACGAATTTCTGAATGTCGTAAGACGGCGTGTATATAAGAATCTGCTCGAAAAAAGTGCTATGATGTTCAACTAGCAGCAGATTAATTCTTTCGATCTCAAGGGAGCAATATACAATTGCAAAACCACCTAGACGTCGACAACGCAGCATCAGTAGGTCGAGGAGCACGCAAACTTTGCATAGAAAAGAGACCATAACTCGCTTCAGAATAATGCTAAGCAGCTAGGAACAGCATATTTGGAATCAGCATTCCAAACTGATTCCAAATATCTCATCTAAAAAGGCGAATCTAAGGTGGTATCTTTCCCTTGTAAGATCACTTATGTGTAATCCACACTTGTTCCTTTATTTACTTGATAATGTACGAAGGCTGGACATAATGCAAGTCAGCAAACATGGGAAGCAACGCAAATGTTGATACTAAACATTGAGGCAATGGAACTCGAAATATAAGGACCGTTGAAACTCGGCTGCTATTAGTACAACCTATTGGTAAAAGCTCGACGCTTAGGCACAAGGAACTAGGCCAAGAAACTAGAGCAGATATGGGATGCAACCATGTGAGGGTGTCAATTACAACAAGGACTTGCAGGAATTAGCCAATTCCAAAATTATTATTTTGCTTTTATGGTGGTTGCATATACCAATATGCCTAACGAGTTCCAGAGCCAGAGAAAGGCTTGACCCATGGAACCGGTATTTATGAAGCTATTAGATTAAAGATCTCATTGAGTTAAGCCTACTCACTAGTCCGAAAGTCACTCAACGCATTCACTTGATAACGATATTATTGACAGGGTTGGGCGGAGCCGTGTTTGTCGGCTAATCAACAAAGTACATATCGTCAGTGGAGGGTAGAGAGCTCAATGGCTTGGGGTGGGGGGGGGGGGGAGGGAGAAATTTCTCCATTGATAGCAATGTCGTCGTAATTTCATGCTATCGTTTATCTTATGTTCTAGTTGGATATCACTTAAATTTGATTCCCTCGCTAAAGGCGCGCTACTTAAAAGCCTGTTAAATTATTCAATTTTCCCATGCTTTACAAATCAGACTCACTTGACCATTTACGCTTGTAAGCAGTTGCATGGAAGTCTTTGCTCCAAATGTTCCCAAATTGGAGCATTACTGTATTTCTAGTTAGGACAATCATTAGTTAAAAATGTTGTCCTCGATTTTACTATTTCGCATGCGAATCCTTCAATGCGTATGGCAAAGCAAGAACACACACAACGCACACACAAACACACACACAGCGCGAGACTGAGCGATGTTCAAGAAACCTTGTCCGAATTTTTTGAGGCGCCACTCCAAAGGTTGTGAGAAAGGAGCGGTAGCGCGTTACCAGTCTGATAGGTGAAGGTCGCTTATGAGAGTGAAGTTGGAGTGGCAGCCCTTTCATTGGCAAAAAACCCAACATATAGAAAAATTGAGCTGTCCTATCGTTCTATGGCCACCTTAAAAGTAGGTGAAACTATTTTTCAATGTACCAGCATTTCCGCATTCAAACACCTTCTAATCAGGAAAGCTACCTAACTTAGCTCGGCTTTTTGGCAAGGGAAGTACATTATCTGAGTCAGCTTCAAACGCTTCAGAATATGCTAATTCTAGCTGCCGTGCATCATTCCAAAGTTACTTATGGGCTTAATCCTGCGCAAAATTGGCATACTATTTAACATGGAAAACTGCCTGTAGGTAAAAATCCGCAAGAAAAAGGTGGTGAGATATAGAAATAACACAAATCGAATCTTTCCCCACTGAAAAGAAGATTAACGCAAATGTATTAGCACTTAGCTGATGATGCCGTGATGCCAGTGACCAATGAGTATGCCAATTTTGCGCAGGAAAAACCCATAACACTTGGGAATGATACGTGGCAGCTAGAAATAGCATATTTGAAATCAGCGTTTGAAACTGATTCAGAATACATATGCTCCTCGCCAAAAGGCCAAGCTAAGTTAGATGGGATCCCTTGTAAAATCTGCTGGCAAAGTCTTGATAAAAGATCTTTTTTATACGGATATTTTATTGCTGCTTTCAAGCAACAGTGTAGACTAATAACCATGACTCCCAACTCTGCAAGTGCGCATGACTGCACTCGAACTTCTCGAGACTCGATTTTTTGTCTTAGAGACAAGTCATGCCAGATGACTTGTCTCTAAGACAAAAATTGTCTTAGAGACAGTCTCTTATACACACGGTGTCCAAAAAATGTGCGAACTGTTCGATCGCTTATAACTCTCTTGTTTCTAACCGATCCTTAGATACTATTCTGTAAAGCTTGATTTAGCTTAGATCGTAGTTTGAAGCGAGTTACCGATGGAAAGAGTTATCAACGACCAAACAGTTCGCACATTTTCGGGGCACCCTGACAAATAGAATGGTGCAGTTATAACAAAACAATGATCAAACCGGATAACCAGGTTTCCATGTATATGTATTCATCTCTTGCGGTAACTGTGCCAACTGCCTTCTGCTTTCTTTAGGCTTCTTTCGTTGCTTTAAGACTTCCGACCGCTTATACATCATTACCGGATCTTCCATCGGTGAGCAACCGTTGGGTAGCATTATCATTGCATAAGACACAAGACGGCTGTACATCTTGAATAGAAATTGATGAAAGCCTTGGGGTTTGTTTATATTACTTACGGAGGGATTTGTAATGAACGATTGTAGTATATTGGCAGCACTGTAAGCGACCGAAAATACTACAGTCATACTGAAACAATCAGTATTTTGATCGACTGGAGTAAGCTAAAAACGTCCATGAAAGCAACTCACATGTTTAGAGTAGGATCCGTTACCCAATCAGAAGAAATTGCCAAAGTAATCCAACTTCCAAGTAGTAGCCAGGGTTGGAAAAACAAAAATACGTTACGATAACACTAAAACACGCTTTTTTGTTTCGGTATCTGAGTGCATCTTGCACCTTTTCTACGCTCCACTTCACTAGATAGTCTTCCCCAGAAAGAAAGCTGTCCATCTTCTGACGATATTGGGGGATGTTCTTCATCGTAAAAAGGCTAAAGTATAAGAAAGAAGAGGCTGCGAGGGCGGCACAGGTATCGACAAGGACGACAGGAAGCCATAAGCTTGAGGTTTCCTTCGTGAAGTGACCAAGGCAGCTCCATTGTGTAGCGCTCTGTGACAAGCCCTCTTTCTGCTCAAAATATTTCCGTATGATAATGTGTCACCAGACCTCATAATACTGAGCAAAAGCAGATACTAAGATAGATCCGCCAAAGACGACACCTATAAGCAAAGTTTGTCCCTGAAACATACAAGATAGTAATTTATTTCCCGTCTAATCTCTTTATTCACCGATAATCTCGGAATTTTAACATTGCGCTTCATAGGATTACTCCAGATATTTATTTGCTTCAAATACGTCACTTTCCATACATTCAAAGCTTCCATTGCAAGAAAACCGATTCCTAGACAACATAGTGTGTGCTTATAAAATTAATGTAAAATGCAAAGTTTTCGGAAACCTCCCACCTAGTGAATACATAGTTGTGATCATGTATGACCACATGTTGCAGTAAAATCGGGACAAGTCGAATAAGCCTGGGTGGTGGAAGAGCAGCACTGTCAGTCCCGCAATGCAAAGGACGAAGGAGCGCAGGTTTTGGTAGTAAACTTGCGTGTCCTTAAGCAAAACTGTGGCAGTCACATTAGCGGAATGTGCTTCGAAACCACCAACCCTTCCTGACTTCGGAAAATACAGTTTCATTGCTCCTTTCACGACGAGCGTTGTAAACTCACTCAGGGTTAATACCGTTGCACTTCCTCTAACTGAATTTATTATGCAACTCTGAAAAACTATGCTTGACGTTCAAGGAAAACTTCCTAATTCACTACTTTTTTTCCCCTTTCCCATCTCGCTGCTTTCTCATTTGTTTAGATGTGTGATTTATGAGTTACAAGCTGGCGACTTTGGATCTGATAGGAACAAGATATCGCTCAAGCAAACTTAGGCGTTTCATGCCTCATTACGATTGTCAAGATAGCGCCTTAAACCGTGCTTCACAGATTTTTGATTTTTTCAGATCTTCACAGAAGTGTAGTGAAACGTGTGGTGAGCAGGAAATGTTTTCGGAAAAAAAGAAAATGAACCCGCAAACTGTAAGTATCGTAACTTCGCCTCCTCTTGCATTCCATTCCGCCCACCCAGAATTGCAGTGACGCCTTCTGCCAGGTAAGCGAAATCGTTTACGCAGTATCACATACTTTGGAAGTGTTCCGCGGCCGACCGTTTTTATGCTGCATGTGACGAGGGCAGCGCCGGAGTATTCACGCTTGTCACAATAGGTCTTTTGAGAAGGGGAGGCATTATAAGTTCTCTACAGTCGAGTAGATTTTCCGCTTAATATGGTGTACTTGCACTGTAGGTGAAATGCGGTAAAACTTGCGCGTAAAAAATTAGCCGCGCCAATAGTGCCCGCATTCTGTGCGCGCAAGTGGAAGGCGTCACAGGTGTAGCTATTTCTTCATGCGCAAATTTTACCGCATTTCACCTACACTGCAGGCACACCATATTAAACGGAAATTCTACTCGACTGTATATATTCTGCATTTCATACTCGAAAATGAAATTCCACGGAAGGCCAAGACTGGCAAAGATTGTTAGGTTGTTGTTGTTGATTTATCAGCTTAGGCTGTTTGTTTTCTTTTCTTAAAAAAACATGCTCAATTGATTTGAAATTCTGCTCAAAGTTTTTATCATAAACCTACAGTGACAAAGGGAAATTGGTGACTAGTATCTTATAACTGAAGCCAGCTTTACAGAATGGTATCTAGCTTAAAGCTCAAAAAAATTTCTTGGAGCAGAGTTTTACCGACCGAACAATACGTCCTTTTGATAAGTTCCATTTTCTACGAAAAGAAAAATGCTAGGTAGAAACCAAAATTATCCTTTCATAATACAATTCAAGAAATCTTTGCATCTACAAGGAAAGACTTTGCGTTGCCTCAAAATATCTATTGGTTTCCACCAGGCATTCATTTTAAGTCGATGAATTTCGATGTTTTTGTTTGTTACAAATCGTTGTGCAAAATTTTGAGATTGTTTCCGTTGTATATCACAAAAGGCATTTGATTCTTTCATGTTGGTTCTATTGCTAGCTTCTTTCGAAGGAAAATGGATAGAGGGAGTCCGTCTCGAGCTGTCTGCGCCATTCAGTAACGATATTATACCAAATCGCGTTAAAAAAACCTGAGTGGAAGAAACAAAACACCCGCCCTTGAAGGCTTTAGCGACGCTGCTTGCCATGCAACACATTGGTCTATGATAAGATTTAACTACATTGTGAAAAATAGTTCACAGAATTTGGACGTTAAGCGAATGATCTTAGTTTCCACATCTGATTCTATCGTTTCAGTCATGCATACCGTGCAATATTTTGTGGTACATATTAAGTAATGAATAGGGTTCGCTGCTGTTTTCATTTCCTTGATCCCTTATTCATGGTGAAAGGGTAAAGTGTTTTCCGGCAAAGTTTATGAACGCTCCGCATGCAACATTTTTTTTGAAGTTAGCCCTTTCTGAATTGCAACCTATTCTGCATTATTCAACAAATGTCCTCAGATTATCAGAGTTTCTTCATATACGGCAAAATTTTGAATTTTTCAAAATTTTTTTACATCTTTTCCATCTGTGCTCAAGTTCTTAGGCATTCTCAGAAAGGTGATATCATTGGCAAACTCTGAACTTACCTCATTCTCAGCAAATGCAAATGACAAGTTTGACTTAGCAAATTCACAAGCAGCTCCACCATAACCCTCACGACATTCGCAGTATGCCTGAAATTATCTAATCAGACAGTTTAAAATCAAATCCGTCCATTTTCTGCCGCTTAAACTGTAGATTGCTGTGCCTATTTGTTCATTGCTCCAATTGAATAACCAAGTTTCAACAATTTTTTCATTGCTTTTTCTTAGTCTCATATGCACGTACATACCCTTTGGGGAGTGGAGGAGAGCTGAGAGGGTACGCGCCGTATCTTGTTTTTGAATATTTGTACTTTTTCCTACCTATCTTATAAAGATTCTCATACCCTATTCGGTGAGCGTTTACCAGCGGGTATCTAACGAAACACCTATTCCCAGCTATCAGATCAGATCACTCTAGCTCGTTTGAGAGCTTCGACCCACAAATTCTACAAAAAAAAATTTTTTGAAGCGATGTCACCTCAAAATTTTGATAATCTCGCAACAACTATTCGGAACTCAAGCCTTTTTGGTGAGAAACAGCTTTAAGAACCTTCATGAGCACCCACCGCACTCTTTTTGTAGAGTTAAAATTTGGATCGTATGATAGCGAAGGTAACCCTGAAAAACTCCAAAAAATTAAAACTCAGTAAATTCTTTATGAATTAGAATTTTATGATTTCTATGATTTTGATGGTGCAAAGATCTTTTTATTTTCAGAGCCACTCCTGACTTATCTTCTCCCAAACAGACTCGCTTTCATGCATCGATGAAATTGAGATGGAGGAAGCAGTTATGGAAAAAGACTTTCCACCTTCCCACGAGAATCCTTAGGTACCGAAATTTCATGGATGAGCATGTGACCCACTAGCGGAAGGTCAGTAGCTGTGGTTTGCTAATTAATAAACATTTTGTACCAAAACAGTTGCTTTCACCCCGAGTTCAAAGTTGAGTATGTGATCAGCAAAAAACTGTTTTTTGCTGTTCTGCTCACTGCAGAACTTATGGTTCACAGGCCCCAGCTCCTAAAGGAGCTAGACTGAGGTGTTCTAGCAGCTGGGAATAGGGTTGTTAGGTAATTGCTGCTAAAGCAAATAAGGGTCATGGTCTAGGGTATACCACTAACTAACGGCTGCGAAGTCTTCCGGCCTCGGCCAAGCACCTAACGCCACGCACCCGCGCGAAAACGGCGAAAGAGGCTTTAACGCGGGAGAAATTTAGCAGATGGGAGGGGGGGGGGGGCGCTTCCACTTTGTGAATTCACTCTCTCATCTTCAAGTGCAATTTCTCGCTTCCGCTAGCCCTAATATCGCAGCCGGGCAAGTAGGCGTGCGTGACTTGAAATCGGAACCGAGAAAAGCGCTCTTAAATCTGAGGGAAGTGACTTAACAGAGAAAGAGACCTGACCTACCTGCTAAATTCGCTCCTGCGTTAAAGACCTTCTCACCTTTTCCGCGCCCTTCAATTTGCATTTTCGGTTACAGCATTGCGGATAGGCTCACGTAAGCATAAAATTCTCAAAATCGACTTTGTCTTCAGTGGGCACATAAGATTTCGGTTTCGGTCAACGTTCTTGCATGTCATTCTGATATATAGTGATTACTTCATACCTGGTCTATACAAGCTCAATTCCTGATTTTCTTCAAAACTATTTTGTGATTGGACTTGAGCTGACTTATTGGATGTTTTTTTTTGTTTTATTCTTTGTGTTTGTTCCTGGGTATGTGTTCAGTCTCAAAAAAGAAGTAGGACGGGTTAAGCGCATGTAATTGGATCATAACTTTATGACTTGTTCTGCTTGGAATTTAACAGTAAAATGAATGCAGCTCTTCCTTAATGTGCATGTTTGCTGCTGAAGCGATTCAAATTGAGATATGCGAAGATTGAGAAATTTCGGCCAGAAGCCCACCGCAAGGGCAGCGCTTTGCTACCCTAATTTCGATCAGATTGTTTTGAAAGTTTTACATCCCATACCAAATTTGGTGCCCGCTACATTTGCACTGACAAGGGAGAGTTCCCAAGTCAGCTCGGCCAACCCGGATGAGTCATATAACACCGCAACCGGCTTGAAACGCTGATTCCAAATCTCCTTTCCTTTTCTGCGGAACAACTCTCCGAGAGAAGCTATGAGCGTTTAAATGTCTAAATCTGTCATGTTTAAAGTGGCTCAAAATCAGTTGAAAACTGTAAAACAACACCTAACGGAATTTTACTATCTGTATTCCGTCCTTGTAATCAATATACTTGATACAAAACTGATAAATCACTTTCGTGTGTTATTGTACAGATTTCGCCAATTTTAAG